TCAGTCCGGCAGCGTAGTCTACCCTATCCCATTCCCACACTCGTGTGGCAACTGGTACAGTTCCGCTCTCGCACCCCAACTATGGTGCAACCCTCCCCTGAGATAGGGAGAGGACCGAGGTGATGGGTGTCCCCTCTGACTTAGATAGTATGGATAAACTAGATCCAAGACAGAGTCTGTGGCAAGATGGCATGAACCTGGTCAAGTGATCGACCCACGTTCGTGCCATAGCTTACTTCAGCAATTATGCCAGGGCCTCATGGCCCAGACAATCTCTAGGGTAATCCAGGCCCCCCCCTCCCCCGCGCCCCCCCCCCTGGAGATAACATGAGCCTCCTCTCTACCAGGTGCACGCGTGGTGCATGTTCATCGCAATGTAGCGCAGTCATTACACCGCTGAGGCCTGCCTGTCCAAATGGTCCCAAACGGTCCCAAACGGTCCCATAGTTCCAATGCAATGCTACGGGACTCCGCTCTAGGTCCTATGAATCCTATGAGGTTGCCATACCGACAAATTTGACATACCAGGTCAAAGTTTTGACTTTGCCAAGTCAGCATTTTGACTTTTCCAGGTCAACATTCTGACCCTCTCTTCAACTGCAGGACACCAACAGGCTGACTCACGTCGATCACTTTCACGGGGCCCGAGGCTTGCTCCCTGCAATTGACGCCAGGCATTGAGCTTTATAACCCAAAAAAGACCGACAAACTCCTCTGTCGCACCACGGGCAGGTCCAGAAGCTCTTTGAGGGGGGGGGAAGAAGAGCGAAAACAAAACAAAAAAAAACAAAACGCTGGCCGGCCTGCAACTGTCCAGAAACCTGTGACAGAATCTCGGCAACAACAACCAAATTGACTAAAAAATACCCAAAAAGACTTAAAAAAAGTAAATAAAACTATCCTGACTACGTAGAAGCCGAGTGAATGTCCCTGCCTTGGTACCATACTGCGAAACCCTGGATAAGATGGATGGATAAAATAAGGTTAGGACTCAGGAGAGGTTAAACCTTGAGCCCCCCGCCCCCCCCCCGGCTCCCCCCGCTCCCCCCCAAAAAAAACAAGAATCAGTTTACCACTGTTGTCCTCAGAAGTCCCAGACTCCGCTGGTCTACCTTTGCTCACCGTCTGCCTACGTCCGCTGGTCTACCTTTGCTCGGCGTCTGCCTACGTCCGCTGGTCTACCTTTGCTCAACGTCTGCCTTCCGGCCGCTGGTCTACCTTTGCTCAGCGTCTGCCTACGTCCGCTGGTCTACCTTTGCTCAGCCTTTGCTCAGCGTCTGCCTTCCGTCCGCTGGTCTACCTTTGCTCAGCGTCTGCCTTCCGTCCGCTGGTCTACCTTTGCTCAGCGTCTGCCTTCC